TTTATTTGAATGGAAATAATCTGTAAATAGTTTAAAATTTTAAAATGTGACTCATTCCTTTGGTTTCTAGATGACTTTGCCCTGGGGTACACTGTCTAGCCTCCAACTACAGTGTAGGTCTCAGAGTGATGATGGGCCTATAATGTGGGTGAGACCAGGAGAACAAATGATCCCTACAGCAGATATGCCAAAGTCACCCTTCAAAAGACGACGGTAAATAAACATCAAGTTTTCTCAAATAAACAAAACTATCCTTTTTATTGGGTGGCTTATAAAAATGATCGTCATCTGAGCATGGTTTGGGAAACTTGTCTAGATTTTTGACGAGTTCCTTTAGGTAAAATTCCAAGTTGTCAGTTTCCTAGTTTGGATAACCTGCTACATAATCATCAGTCTCCTGAGAAATTAATTGATTTTTCTTAAAACTTGTATCCTAACAGCCCATAGGGTTAAAAGAGCAAACCCTTCTTAGTGTGGTCTGTACAAATCTTTGATAATACAGAACCTTTGTATCTGCTTTCATTTTCTCCTACTATACTAAATTCAGTTTCCAAACCATTGCCTTCCATCGCCCTTTGCTCTTGTTCTGATCTTTCTATTTGGAATTTCACCCCCTTTCCCACTTTCCTCTTTACCTAGCAGGTTTTTAGTAAAGCTTCAGAACTTACCTTGAATGTCACCTTTATGAAGCTTAGGACAAGTTAATTTGGTCTTACACCATGGTTCCTTGATGATCTTTTTACTGTTTTTGTTTCTTAATAAATTATGACCTCTTTGAGGTTAGGGACTGTTCTGTTTATCTTTGTCATCATGATTCATTGTAGGAAACCATGGTTTGCTGAGTGAACTGTGTACCGTGTGTAAAGCTGTGATAAATCATGTGCTAACATATTTCTCTTTCATACACATAAAACAGATGTAGATTTACTATTATTTTAGAAAATACTATTCAGTGAGAGTAAAAATAATTTACATCCCCTTGGGCTATGGAAATAGCAGTTTAAAATTAGGCTGGACATGGTGGCACATGCTTTTAATCCAAGAACTCCAGAGACAGAGGCAGGTGGATCTCAGTGGGTTTGAGGCCACCCTGATCTACATAGTGAGTTCCAGACTATTGGGGACTACATATTGAGATCTTATCTCAAAATAAATAATATAAAAAATCCCAACAAAAACCCAAGAGCTCAAAATAAGTTTTACTGGATTAGTCTTAACTTTAACTTAAAATTTACAGGAGAACACTACCAAATGATTAAATAGTTTTAGACACTTAAGATGATCCATGAAACCCATGGTAAAAACGTGAAGATGAAATTTGGAATGTAGCTCAGACTGCTTGCCAAGCATGCAGGAAACCCTGGATTCCACTCCTAGCAATCAGTCCTCTTATTCACGTGTGCAGGAGGCAGGAGAATCAGAAGTTCAAAGACATCTCCAACTACATAGTTTGAGGCCAGTCTGGGATATATGAGACCTGTCTCACAAACACAATATATTAATGCAGTATATAAAGCCCCAAGAATTAATTAATCAAAAGTTTTTCACAGTATTAGATTATAGCAATTTTTTTTTTTTTTCCCGAGGCAGGGTTTCTCCATGTAGCTTTGGAGCTTGTCCTGGAACTCTCTCCGTAGACCAGGCTGGCCTTGAACTCCCAGAGATCTACTTGCCTCTGCCTCCCCAGTGCTGGGATTAAAGGCATGCGCCACCACTGCCTAGCTGATTACAACAATTTTTATATATTATAGTGATGGATCTTAAGATTCTAAATTCTTAAGTACTATATGCATTTTTGCTGTATATTTTCAAAGAGAAATGAATGTTTGATTATTATAAATGTTTTTAAAAAGGAGAAAAAGATTAGGTATTCTTTAGTCCTCACCTACTTTCTGAGTAATTAGACGAAACCCATTTTAGCTTGTCCTTCCAGCTCTGTTAACTGTCTTCACACATTATTGAAGTTAATTTATTCTGCTTTAAAATCATCATTAGGTTTTTAATGCTTTATCAATAGGTCCATTCTAAAGTTGAATAGCTAGCAATGACATGTATATTTACTTAAGATGGAATTACTAAAGATTCAGGTGGTAGGCTAAAAATTCTATTCTAAGTCCTGGTATTATCACTCACAGGAGGAACATAAAGATTTTTCTCTCATGTCACAATTTAGTTTTATATTTGGGTCATACTTTTTAAAAATTTTGTTTTCACCAAAGTTTATCATTATTCCTTTTGAGGTAGGATATATACTTCTCTTGAGTGTATTCTGTATAATTTCTAGTTTTTTTCATATTGCTTATGAAAGTTTACATTCTTCTGGAACTATCTGTGTGACTTCCACATATAGCTATTTTGAAAATTTTTTTTTTCCTCTTTATGGGAGTTCTAACATGCTTAATTTCCTTTCCTCAGTGTTTGTGTATCCCCTCCACTCCCTTTCTCCCTCTCTCCTTCCCTTTCCTTCTTTACTCTCTCCCCCTTCTTCCCCCACTCTCTTACTCCTTTTAGCTGAAGAATAGCACTCTTGGGGGCTGGAGAGATGGCCCAGTGGTTAAGAGCACTGGCTGCTCTTCCAGAGGTCCTGAGTTCAATTCCCGGCAACCACATGGTGGCTCACAACCATCTGTAATGAGATCTGGTGTCTTCTGGCGTGTGGGCATACATGGAAGGAATGTTGTATACATAATAAATAAATAAATATTTTTTTAAAAAAAGAATAGCATTATTGATTCAAATGCCTTTTTCTTTTTAAAGTATATACTTTTAATTTCAGACATTCAATATTTAAATATATATTTATTTAATTTATTTTTATTTTATATGCATTGGTGTTTTGCCTGGATTTGTGTCTGTATGAGAGTGTTGGGTCCTCTGGAACTGAATTTACAGACAGTTGTGAGTTGCCATGTATGTGCTGGGAACTGAATCCAGACCCTCTAGAAGAGCAGCTAGTGCAGACAAAAAGGCAACAGACATTGGAGAAACTGGAATCAAAGGAGGCAGGCACAGTAATGATATGGAAGAAAAAAAATAAGTAAAACTGAGGAAGGCAAGCCAATAACTGGTGTCTGATATTATTGTTACTGTAGCTTTGGAGCCTGTTCTGGAACTAGCTCTTGTTGTTGACCAGGCTGGCCTTGAACTTGCAGAGATCCACCTGCCTCTGCCTCCTAAGCGCTGAGATTAGAGGCATGTGCCACCCTTGCCTGGCATGACTGGTGTGTGAATGCGAACTGCCCCATAGGCTCATATATTTGAATGCTTGGTCCTTAGTTGGTGAGATTGTTTTGAGGAGGATTAGAACATGTAGTTTGTTAGAGGAAATGTGTCACTGGGATTTTCAAAAGGCCACCCTAGGCCAGTCTCCCCCCCCCCCCCGCCCCCGTTCTTGTTCTCTGGTTCTTTGCCTTTAATCATATTGTCCTTGTCTAGAGAAATTTCATGCATTCAGAGTTGTCATGTGAGCCTAATAAAGGTATAGTCTATAGGGAAAGAGGAAATAAAAGTCATCATTTTATATAATGTATTATATAGTATATGGTATAATGCTAATGATCTAAATCATTGGACTCATCTCAAACCTCATTTATGCCTAGTATTGTTAAAAGCCTTTTTACATTACTGCTGTTAATTTTGCTGTTTATTGCCTCATACTTTGCTTTGTTTCACAACCAAATCAACTGTAGATCAATGAATGAAATTAAAAATCTTCAGTACCTACCTCGGACAAGTGAACCCCGAGAAGTCCTCTTTGAAGACAGGACAAGAGCTCATGCTGATCATGTAGGTCAGGGGTTTGACTGGCAGAGCACGGCTGCTGTTGGGGTTTTGAAGGCTGTACAATTTGGTGAATGGTAAGTTAAAGGACCCAAACTACAGGGTTGGATAATGTCTAAGAAAACGTGGATTCTGTTTTCAAGTTTTAGATTGTGGTAAATAAAATATGTATAACATAGCTTACCATCTAAACATTTTTATGATAGAAGTGTAACTGTACTGCGATAAAACAATGTTCTAGAACTTTTTATCTTGCAAAACTGAAACTTTATGTCTCACAGCTACTTTCACCTCACCATCCGGATGTAGATCGTGGGAACAATCACTATGTAGTCTCCTGCCATTTCTGGTTTTGCATAGAAATGGAAGCATACTTCCCCTGCCCTTTTCCTTTTAAGAAAAGTAATCCTAGTGGGCCAGTGAGATGGCTTAGTGGACTAAAGGTGTTTGCTGTCAGGTCTGACTACCCAAGTTCTGTCCCTAGGACTCTGACCTCCACACACTGTATATGCATATGTACAAGCACACACACAAATATTAATGCATTATAAAATTAATTATAGTGACAAAAGGAAATTATTTTTAATTATACTTATTTATTATTTTGTGAGTGAGAAGTGTGTGCCACAGCAGTTGTGTAGCGGTTAGATAACTTGTGGAAGTTGGTTCTCTCCACCTGGGTGCTAGGGATTGAACTCAGGTAGTTAGGCTTGGTGGCAGACACCATTACTCATAAGGCATCTTGACAGTTCCAGTTTCTTTTTCTAACTCAGCCATTTCTATTATAATAACATCCCTCAGAGTTTACCCCTGTTTAGCAAGTATCAGACTTTATTTCCTTTTAAGGTAGGTATAGTAAATTTCACACACAGTGTGCATGCACATGCACACAGACTCATGTATACCATTTTGTTAGTCCACTAAATAGGTGTTTGGATTACTTCTACCATTGACTCTTTGATTGTTAATATAGGTGTATATGTATCACTTATGTCCTTGGTTTTCGATACCCAGAAGTAGAGTTGCTTGATAATATGGCAATTCTGTTTTATTATTTTGAGAAACTGCTGTACTGTTTTCTGTAGTGACTGTACATTTTACATTGATCTAGAGCTTGGTTTTATTTGTATATTTGAATTATATATTTTTTATTTTTAAAAGTATTTTTCATTTTGGTTTTTCAAGACAGGGTTTCTATGTGTAGCCCTGGCTGTCCTGGAACTCACTCTGTAGACCAGGTTTGCCCTGAACTCAGAGATACGCCTGCCTCTGCTTCCTGAGTACTGGGATTAAAGGAGTGTGCCACTACTGCCTGGTGGCAGCCTGATTTTATTGTAACAAAGCTCAAGTTTCCTAATGAGATAACAGTAAATGCATCCCATTTAGAATAAAACTTAAAAAGCAAAATAAAACAAAAACCCCAAATCCTCTGATCCAGGGTCTCACTGTGTAGCTCAGCACAGCCTTGAACTTGGTATGTAGGTCAGGCAGGCCTCAGACTTAAGATCCTTTCTTCTTGGTCTCATCTCCCCGAGAACTGGGATTGTGGGTATACAGCAGCATGAAAGGTTGCTGTGAGGCTAGAATAAAAGTATTTTTTTAGTCATTATTGCTTGAATTTTTTTAACAACTTACCTCATTTTTTTTTTTAACTCTACTTATGTGCATTGATGTTTTGCCTGAATGCATGTCTGTCTGAGGGTGTCAGCTCCCCTGGAACTGGAGTTACAGTCAGTTAGCTGCCTGTGGGTGCTAGGAATTGAACCCAGGTTCTTTGGAAGAGTAGCCAATGCTCTTAACCACTGAGCCATTCTTCAGCCCTGATTTTTGTCTTTAAAAAACCTTCTATTGATTTACTTTTATATTTTGAAAACTGACTAAAGTAGTACACTCTTAATCTTTAGAAAAGAGGCATTTTATTTATTTGCTTATTTGCTAAATGTGGCATTCTAGAAGCTGGAAAAGTGAAATTGTCATTTTCCATTGTGGATACTAGTCCCTAAATTTTGTCTTATTAATATTAGGAGTGACCAACCTCGCATAACCAAAGATGTGATTTGTTTCCATGCTGAGGACTTTACTGATGTTGTACAGAGACTCCAGTTAGACCTTCATGAACCTCCAGTTTCCCAGGTAATAGTTTTCACATTCTCATTGCTCTTTCAGTGAAACATTGGAAACAGAATTTGAGTCCATTTTATTAGGCATTTTAATTTATAATTGGAGTCACAGACAGTAAATTTAATTTTATTTTTATTATATTCTGTGTATGGTAGAGAGCAAAATCTTTGGGATGGAGGGTGGGCCTAAAATGGCTAAAGAAGGACCCAGCTGTTGACTTCAGACATAAGCAGTCTCCCTTAGTAATCTCACTGTGCTGCGGCCTCCACTGCAAAATGTTAGAATATATGAAGGGGAATATTAAATATTGCCTTTATGTGTGGTAAAGATACTGATATAGCTGGCAGTGGTAGCTCATGTCTTTCATCCCAGCTCTTGGGAGGCAGAGGCAGGTGGATCTCTTGAGTTCGAGGCCAGCCTGATCTACAGAGTGAGTTCCAGGAAAGCCAAGGATACACTGAGAAACGCTGTTTTGAGGGGTAAAAAAAAGATACTGATATTTAGCTGCACTTTCAAGGGTGTAATGATTCCATAGGCTATCTCGGCAGTCTTTGTTTAAAAGTTGTAAAATATATGATAGAAAAGGGCTTCCCAACAGTTTTATCCTGTCAAGATTTAATTTTTGTTTTAGAACAGTTTGCCATACTCTTTTCCTGTGTGAATTAGAATATTTTGTTTGAATCATTATATATTTTAAGGTCTCATGCAATTTCTTTTGCCTTTCTTTTTAGTGTGTACAGTGGGTGGATGAAGCAAAACTAAACCAAATGAGGCGAGAAGGAATTCGCTATGCTAGAATTCAGCTTTGCGACAATGATATCTACTTCATCCCTAGAAATGTCATTCACCAGTTCAAAACAGTGTCAGCAGTATGCAGCTTAGCTTGGCATATCCGGCTTAAACAGTACCACCCTGTTGTGGAAGCCCCTCAAAACACAGAAAGCAATTCCAACATGGACTGTGGTTTACCTGGAAAGCGAGAATTAGAAGTTGACTCCCAGTGTGTGAGAATAAAAACTGAATCTGAGGAAACATGCACAGAGATGCAGGTTTTGACAACTGCTCCATCGTCTTTTCCATCTCCATCAGAGCTTCATCTGCAGGAGCTGAAGACTCCGCCTATTCCAGTTTTCAAGGTGGAAAGTAGACTGGACTCTGACCAGCAACACAGTCTGCAGGAACATCCAAGCACTCCTGTGTGATATGTACATATTCAAACACATTTTTTAACTTTTTTAAATTTTGATGTGAAGTTATAGTTTTATAACTGGCTTAAGTTAAGTTTTATTGGAGAAATCTTGCCTATAATTCTATAAAGAGAAATGACATTCCACAAATGTCAAGCATATCTTTTTTACACAGATTATGCAAAGCTAAGAGTTGTATCTTATCCCGTTAGTACAGTATGTAATAGTGGGTCTGCTGCTACTTTCTGTTTTAAGGTGTGAGGTAACAATTCAATCTCTTCTTCAAATCAAAACCAGAGTTCTCTGGATTAGCAGGTTCTCCCTTGGTAATGATTCACTTCCCTTGGTTTTATTTTTCCTTGTCTCTTACCATATTTGCTTTATGTGGTAGAAAGAAGATTTATGGTTTAATATTTGTGTCTTCATGGCACCTCATCAGTTTCCACAGTAAAATGGCATTGGTTGCAGGAAAGGCTCCTGCATCTGGTACATGGGCAAGTGAATTATTTAGTTCCAGCCACAAAGAAGACATAGTTTCTAAAAAAAATTGAATGGCTCTCTGGTCCTTCGCAAAAGAGGAAGCACAGCTCTTACCGATCCAGGCTGTCTTTTTGTGTCCGTTATTTAAAACGCAGTGGATATTTTAATTAAACAAAAATATAAAGATGGATAGTTCTTGGTTATTCATTATCCATGGCTCATTAATTTTTTCTAGGATATATTGTAACCATGGAAGCTATTTTGAGCAAAAGAAATAATGTTGATCCGCTGTTCTGCTTCCTAGTATCCTCCCGTTTCCTGTGGATACTTGCCCTAAACTGATGACAAATATCAAAGTCAGAGATGCACACCAGTCTCACTGATGAGGGCTGACGTATCTGAGCATCAAACTAAAGAAACTATTCTTGTGACTTGGTATCTACTTTTGAAACACTTCATAATTTTATCTGGTGAATACCTGGGTTTGTTCATTGTTCATCTGTGTTGCTATTTTCTAGTAACAGGCAGTAGACTTCCATCCTAGAGTTTCAGGTGAGCTGAAGCTTAGGGTCTGGATATTTACTTTGTTTTCAATATAGGCCTTTTTTCAGTAGGCCTCCTTCATATAAGTAGTGTGGACTTTCTCTTATTTGGAATGTTCATGTGCTATGCATTCTACTTTCTCTTAGTTAGTAACTCAGTAGGCCTTTTGTTTACTAAAGGAAGAGTACTCCCCACACCTAAGACCAGATTCTTGTATCTACCTGGTTACAGTGCAATTTGATTTTTTATTTTCCTGGATGGTGAGATTTGAAATATTTGCATTAACATAGGCAAAAGAAAGAGATGCTGCTTTATTATGTTTGTCACCATGGAACTTAGCTGCATCTTTGGAAATATCAAATATGAATTTTCTCTAAAATATTCTGAAATAGGTTAAATCTTATATAAATATTACTTTGTGCAATATTGTTGTGTAGTTAAATGCATATTAGCAAAGTATAGAGGTCACTGTGTAAACCGATAGAAAAGTAACCATCAGCAAATACTACAGTGATTAGTTAGAATCTGTATTATTCCTTATATATATGTATATGTATGTATTCTCTGTTACAAAGGATGAAGACAAATAAATAGGGAAACACTTCAATGTAAACCATTTATGAATTGGAAGTGATGTTGCTTTTAGTTATCTTTGTAAATAAGGTAATTAGAATGGTATGAAAGGTAATGTGATTATTACAGGGGTGTTTTTAAATCCTGTGTATAAATTCTAGTTTATCAAACTAGTTTTTAAGGGACCTTTGAGGGTATTTTTTGTTGTTGTTACTTTGTGGAGAAGGGGTTTATCACAAAATGAATGGGTTTGGGTTATTTCTTATTTCTGTCCAGAAGAATTTCATAGAGCTTTACCAGGCTGTGCAAAGAAAAATTCTTCTCAGGCAACATTGCTTTTAAAAATAATCATGAAGAGAAAAAGTTGTTAACGCAAAAAGTTTTATTTTTGTTTTTCTTGTCTTCCAAGATCCGATTTCCCCATCTCCCACTTGCCATCCAGCAGATGCCATCTGCCATCTAAGCTGGTCACTACTAAAAACAAGGAGACTGTCTCCTGACAGCCAGCACTGTGTGTAATCACTCAGGAACCAGCGGATCTGCAAAGACCTACAATCAAACGCAAATCTCCATTTTCCTTTTTGCAAAACAGTCTACCCTCACCTCCAGTATAAACATATTAAAAGAATATAAAAATGTTGAAAATCATGTACTAATGAAGTCATTGTATATTAGATTGCAATAGAATGGAAAGAAACATTTAGCTAGTAATGTATCTGGAAACTCTGAATGTCCTATGTGAGTATTAGATTTTGATAGCATGCTTTAAAGACTGATGAATATAAAAGCAGAAGTTTTGAGTTTCTTGCTGCTTTCAAAGCTGTCCTAGTTGAGCGATACAAATGATCACAACTTTTCTAAATCATTAAATATTTGGTTTGGTGGAGTGAGGCATGGAGCAGTCTGGCATCCTCTGATTTGTAAGGTAGCAATGGCAGTGAAGTTGTAACTGAAATTGAAGCTGATCTTCCTTTCTGGTATGTTATCTGTTGTGCCAACCCTTGAGATTACTTGCAGAATGTGGCTATATGTTTTAGTACTTTGTGGATCAGAGGGATATTTAAAAAATATGCTTATGGAAAGGACCTAATAAACAAATATTCCTAACAGCAAATATAATTTTATGGTAACCACTAAAAAGAATGAAAGTCTTCCCCTTCCCCAGAGGTCATTCTATACTTATCAAGATAGGTTAGGAGTTAGGATTACAATTCTGAGAGGTGTCCCAAATTCATGAAGCAATAATAATAACCTCCATATTGGTTCCCTCTTCCAAAGTTTAACTGTTGAAAATGAATTCTTAGGCTTAATTGTACTTTCTTATTCAGTACTTAAAAGTTTTGCTGATACATTATTTTTACTTAAAGACTTTTAGAAAGTGCCCTATCCCCTCAATCAGTTGAACTATAAGTTCACTAATATTACAAGCTCTTGTATGGGGAAAGGAGCTTAGTAAATCATTTTCTAAACTTTAGGAAAAGATGTATCAGTCTTAACAGGCATAAAGATCTCACCTAATGACTTGAGAAACTTTTGCATATTGCTTTTCCCTGTATAAATATTGTCTAGAAGGAGAGTTAATATAGGAGTCTAAAATCCATGAAAATATATTCCTAGTGAATATATCCTTTATCATTAATATTAGTCCATTATATTTTCATCTGTATTTGCCTTTAAAATTTATTTGTATTTATTGAGGACCATTAGGATTTCTGAGTTTGTGTCTTTCTAATAAGTCTGTTTCATCCTTTCAGTAGCACATGCCAGAGGCTCACATCTGTGCTAAGTCTCATGTTTTCAAGGCAGTCTGTAGCTGTAGTTACTGGTCATGCAAGTAGAGGAGATGCACACCACCAGTGCTTTTCTAAGTGCATAAAGGACTTATCCTCATCCTGGAAGTCTGCTGCTTTAAAAGCAAGTATCCATAAATATTAATGGCCTTCCATTTGAAAAATCTTCATAAATTTTTTAGAATCCACTCGTGCATGTAGTTGAGACCATTGTCTCTTAAAATATAGCACTTTTCAATTCTCTCTAAAGAAATACTTATGTACTACTTCTAACACATGTAAATTTTCATGTAATAGTGTTTTCTGTGACTAAACTTCATTTTGATTGGCAGCTAAGACTTTTTTTTTTTCCTGTGGCTTTAATTTATCTAAGAGGTCTTTGCATATAGATGAAATGTATAATTTGCCTGGCGGACTATTTGCGTTTGTGTGGCCTTAGTTTGTTTATTGACATTAATAAGTGTTTTAAAAGGTTTTTAATGAATAGTCTTAAATCTAAATTTGTGTGAATAATAATCCTTTTAACACAGTGCTTTTTTGTAGCTGTCTAAGTGTGTTAAATTGTTAAGCTATTTCTTTGTAAAATAGGACAATGGAATGCATAGTTTTTTTTTTCCTGTAAAGTATTTTTTTAATAAACAAAGTCTGATTTGTCCTTTACTGATGTCTCATCACAGAAAATAGCACATGGGCCTTCTCATTGCCTTGGACCTGAGTACTAATGCCCCTCTCCTTTGTGCCGGATTAGTTTTAAGCGTTTGAAGACAAACTTGAGCTCTTATTTCCCAAAGAAAAAGTCAGAGACATCCAGATTGAGGTGCAACTAGTTTTGAAGAAAAGGGAAGCTTGCATTTGTGACAGTTATCCTTACTGCAGCTTAAAACATTGACATGTGTTTAGAACGGCCTTAAGCTTTTATTTTGGCACTATAGGTATTTTTGAAAATGCATGGCATAATAATGAAGATGGTATTTGTTTTTCAGATGTGTGGGGGCTGTAGGACACAACAAAGTGGGTTCTTTTCCTCATGAAGTTTTGGGTGAACTCTAGTTGAGGTGCTTGCCCTGACAGCTCTTAGTTCTCAGTAGGTATCATTTCAGGGTATCTCACCCTGCTTGCCATGGCCAGTAGTAGGAGGTAATTATCTCGACAACACAGGTGAGAATCCGTTTCCTAAAGTCACTGGGAGTTCATTATTGGGAGCAGGGCGTTGAATGTGGTTTTGGGGTCAAAGTTCTGCCTTACACAGCAGCATCTAATAAAACACAAACATTTTAACAGAGTTCCTGGAAAGTGATTTGCTACTGTACCACTCACTAATTCTATTTCCCAACGTACTGCCCACGGCCCAGAAAACCGCTTTTGTGTGTTCAGCAATGGAGTCAATACTAATATACTAATATAGTGTTGATTTAGGTCTTAAACTTTTTTTTTTCATTTACCAATTAGTTGTTTGCTGCCTTGAATTACAGTGTTCGGCAGTACTGAAGAGGCTTACCAGCTTTTAGTTTACCTCTTAACAGTTAAGGGGTAAAAACAGTGGAGACCACTGCCAATGGTGAAGTAATTTTTAAAAATTATTCCTATAGGTGTTACTTTTTAGTAGGTTTGCATTACGGGAAAGTTTCATTTGAAACTGTTTTAATGGTTTATAAGAATGCCTATAGGTTGGAGACTGCCTCTTAACAGTCTCAAGTGATAGCTGTTATCTGTTATTAGCCTTACAGCACCTAAATGCTTTGTGCCGGCAAGAAAGGATACAGATTGAAGTGAGTTGAAGACAGTGGCCCTCGGGAATAAACCATTAATGGTGCACAAAAAGTACAGAAAAGAGGGGCGCAGCTTAGAAACCCCGATATTCACATCAGAGCGCAACTGCCCTTTCTCTTGACCTGCTTCAAACCCTAAAAACAGCCTCTAAGCCATTTTCTCCGCTTTGGGGACTGTCCCAGGGCGGTTCGAGTCCTGTGCATTCATTCTCCCCTAGGCTTGTGTGGGCACCAGAAAGCTCAAGTCCCAGAACGGCTGAGAGCCGAGGGAGGGACTCGCTGAGCCCCAGCCCGCGGTCCGCGTTGGCCCACCAGCAAGAACGGAGAACCCGTGCGGAGGGCTCGTGACCCCTCCCCACCCCCGTTTCTGACTTCGTCCACCCCGGGGACACAGATATGAAGAAGACACCACGCTACAGACCCGCACAGGAGCCTCTGGGATATCGGACCAGCCTCCCGGGGATGGATGGGTGCTGGGAGGGCCGTTTCTGAGGTGATTTTCCGTTAAGCGTCTAGGGTTACAGGCGGCGCGTCGGTGGCCGCCGCCTTAGAGTCGCCGAAGCGGCGGGAAGGCGGTCGGGGGCGGAGCCGGAAGGCGGAAGCGGCTGCTCGCACCCAGAGCTCGTCGAGCCGCAGTCCCTGGCGGACGACGCGCGCCGCCGCTCCGGCCCGGGGCTGGCTGCTGGCTTCCAGCCCTTGCGGTGCCGAAGTGGCTGGAGAAGACACCCTTCCTGCTCCCTTCCCCTCATTTTCCAGTCGGTTCCTGGTTTCTCCCATGGCCCGTTCGGCGGCCACCTAGGTCGGGCGTCTGTGGCTGCAGGCTGCGCTCCTTAGAGCGCTGGGCTGCCCGCTGCCTCGGGCTGGGCTGGCCGCCGCGGTCTCCATGGTGACGGCCCCGCCGGTGTCCGGGCCTCTGGGGGAAG